CCCCCCCCCCCCCCCACACCCGCAACAGTCATAGCAGTTCACGCACGTGCCCATTTCATGGATCAGATGTTGGCATTGGGAGTTCTAGCCTATGTTCAGATGCTTCCGTGCTCACCCAGACTTACCTTCTTGTAGTCGTCCAGTATTCGCGCTTAGAGAACCCGCGGTTTCCTCTGTTTTTGTTTGTTCATTCATATGTTCTACGAGGCTCCTAGTATCAGTTTTAATGCTCACCACTAAACCTTAGCATCTTTCAATGCAGGATTCCAACAATGAGGCTTAACATCTCCTAAGGACAAAGGCCTCTTTAATCTAAGTTGATTAAGAGAGATTCGGATCGGCAAGACACGTGAGATAATTAAGCGTGGAGTTGTTGGCGAAGAGTACAGGGAAGCTAGATAAGATAGTTGCCGCTTCGCAGGGAACTACACCGCAGTTTATCAAGAAGCGTTGCAAATCCTACGTCCGCCATGATGCAACCCCTACATGACATAGCCTTTCTTGGAGGTTTATGGGCAGATAGTGCTGTGTAACTTTGGATACTGCTAGTCACCTTACTCCTCCCTCCCGAACAGGGCTCCAGTAGCTTCAGGCCCTAAGTTGCTTTTCAATGAGCATCGAGGCAACGCTGAGATTAACACGAAAATGAACCGTTGACCGTGTCCCCGTAAAAATCCGCGACACCCTGAAAGCCTGAAACCAGGAACCTGAAAACCACCGTAACCCTGAAGTCTCAAGGCAGCATACAGGAAGGGCTCCGACTCGTGCATGCAAGCTATAGCCTAAACTCCTAGCATNNCATCCCCCCTCAATAAGCCCTATAGTAGTCCGCTATGTAATCTATACAACCTCTTCAGGGAGTTCAGACTCTAGCTCCACTGACTCCCCTTGATCCTGAGACCCTGGCCTACCCCTCGGCAGTATAAGCCCCCAAATCCTTGGCCACATGATGGGTGGCTGGGAGCTGTTTCAATATTCAATCCTTAAAGGGGGATTCTATAATCCGTGCAGAATCCTCGCATTTTAGACCCGCACCCACACGCTTAAGAAAGTCCTCGTAAGGCACATGCCCTTATTCCCTACTCTAACCCCTAAACCCTGAACCCCTCCCTAACCCCTAAACCCTAAACTGAACTCCAATCCATAAACCCGACGCAGAACGCCAATCCCTAAACCCTGAACCCCAATCCCTAAACCCAACCCGCAGTCAATTGAGAGAACTTAGTGGCCTCCTGACCTCAGAAGTTCGACTGAGGTCTGCAACCTAAGATCTTGGGCCCTGCCCCACCCAGTAACAGTCTAGAGTCGGGTCGTATTAAGCAAGGGCTCTAACCATATATATATATATACACATGTGTTTAGATATATATATATAATTATATAGTGGTTAAGGGTTTTATGATATGAAGGGTTCAGGGTTCATATAAATATCATCCAGCTGTTAATGAGTGGGGGCAGTACTCAACTTCAGATCTGGCTTGCAGGCTATGAAGGGTTCCACAATCGGGTGTCCAGCTATAGTCCCCCTTAGGTAGATAGAATATGGCTTTGGGTATATTATAATGAGAGCCCCAATATGATCCATGTTTTATCTACTTAAAGGGGACTGTATATTCAAAACTCCTAGTATCCCCCATAATAACCCTTGTAAAAAATACTCCCCTTTATAATCCCTTTTAAGGAGTTCAGACTCTAGCTCATTGGGTTCTCCTCTTTCTGGTAGCGTCTGGCGGCATACAGTTACACTAGCGAGGGAAAGGTTGATGCGTAGGTAAGCTGCTTATGCCACTGCTGCTGGTTGTGCTGCTGGTTGTGCTGCTGGTTCTGGTGCTTTTGCAACTGCTGCTAGTCCAGAATGCGGTGCTGTAACCATAGCCGACAGCTATTGCAAGAAAGAAGTCTCATGAGCTTGTACAGCAGCGGGTGTCTCTGCAATTGAGGGGTCCATTGTTGGGAGACCCCTGTCATAATCCTAGGAACGGAAGAAATGGAACACATTGCGTCTCAGAATTTCTCCTGTGCACTCCTTTCCAAAAATCAGCAACCCCCTAATCTCTTCTCCTCCCTGTACCCTTAGGGTCCCTAAGAAACATCTAGTCTGAAAACTCTCTTACCCTAAACCCTAAACCCAGAGCCTTAAACCCTAAACATTCGGAGCATCACCCCCAAATCCCCACGACATGGTCCGCAGCGTTGGAACCCTAAAACCATAATCGTTTAAGGTTTTACGGTTTAGGGTTTTAGGGTTTAGGGCTGGAGGGACTAGGCCACATGGAGCGTCTCGACAAAGCTTGCAGAGCACTCCCATCAAACGGAAGTGATCTCTCTGGTAGCTTTTACTGGGGCTTGAGGAACAGGTTTATGGCATTGGCTATTCTAAGTTGTTGTATCGAGGGGGCGCAGATGGGATC